GGTCCATTAGTGAGAAGGAAAGCCTCACTGACAAGTAGAGATATAGGTGCGAGGGGTCAGGAGTTGAACTTGACTTTCACATTAAAAGTCATGATTTGCATTAAATTGTAGGAGCCTATGGTGTACGTTTAATAAACTGTGAAAGAGTGTGATAAGCAGTGAAAAGGCTTTTTTCACCTTAGCAAAGTGAAAAGTCTAGAAAATGGTGTTTAATAATCCGTGATAAGTCAGGTAGGAACTGAAATATCTCACCTCTTCTCATCCTGGTGATAAGTACACAGAAAGTAATGGGAATGTACCTATATTTATGAATTAAATAATTAACCACCTGCTGTCCAGGCGTTGTAATTAAAGGGCCGGACAGTGGACGGAATGTGGGTGGGCGTTTTTAAACGTCCTAACCAGCCCAGCTCGTGCCCGCCGCTATGCGGCACGCACGAACGGGAAATCGGCTTTGAATGTAAACAGCCAGCGGTGGCTGGTTACATACAAGCGTTCAGACGTCTGTAGAGACGCCCAATCGCTTGTAATATGCGCTGTGCCCGGACAAACTACAGTTTAGACAAGCTGCGGTGTTTTACAGGCAGATGCAGTGAACATTGCACTCCACACATAACAGTCTGTAGGACCATTTCGCCACCATGGTCCGCCATTTATAATGCATTAATAAATGCTGCTGGTGTGTTTGCACACACACAGTGCTGATGCACCTATCTCGGGACAGCGGGCTTTTTTCAGGGACGCCAAACATTCTAATTTCCAGCATGTGTCAGAGTGCCCACTTACATTGCTTGGCTCATCATAGTGCCCCTTCAGAATGTTTAACCCCATCACTGCCTCGCATTGTGGCCGCCTCTGGTAGTTTGATTCATGTTTTTGTACTAGTACATGCTGAACAAATCGGAACATGTAAATCCTGCTTTTTAGCAATTTTCATCATTTTAACAGAAAAATAACTGTTGCACTTTGCTATAGAGGTGCTTTGTAATATTGTTATTGGGT